CACTAATTCGCAGGCAAAGCGAACGGGTGGGAGCAAATGGGCGGGAGCGATAGCGAGAGAGCGGGCAGGAGCGATCGAAACATACGTGCGTACTATTCGAATAGAACATACGTGCACACTGTTTCAACGTGCGTTCTATTTGGATTTCCGGGACCGACTTTGAGAAATAGACTTTTTCAGGGAAAGTTGATTAGTACATACGTGCGTTTTGTTCAGGGGGAGACTGTAGCTGTTTTTTTAAGGCGCCGTACTTATCATCGAGACGCCTATCATCATTATCAATTGATCATGACCTCCTCCCGGCCCTATAGTCGTGTGTGTGTGTGTGTTCAGTATCGTAGGTATGTGCCAGCAGGCTCTGTGTATGTTCGTAGTGTGTGTGGAGTGGGTACTGGTGGGAGGTGCTCATATCACCTCCACCAGTACACGTGTGTGTGTGCCTTAATCTATGTCCATATGGTATGTGATAGACTGTATATTGTGGTTGCGCCCCTAGACAGTATCTGGGGTAGTGTCTCGTGTGTGTGTAATATGTGGTAGAGAGGCCTATCTGGACAGGAGCCCCCCCAAAGTCCAGAGCCGAAGTCGAACCTCTAACCTACAGCATGAAACTGGAGGGTTCTACCACATGCATTACTGTGGGAAATGGACGTAATGTGTGAACTGTCTAAGGCTGGGGGAGATCATCGGGAGATCATCAGAGCGACCAAGCCCAACAACAGCAAGCAACCAACGCGATTCCTAGACCAGCATACAACGTCCGTGGACTGACCCTTGGGTGGTGTGCAGGCAGTGTCTGTAAGAGCTTGAAGAAGAGAAGGGCTGAAGCAATGAATCGGGGTCACATTGAAATTCTTAATTTCTTACCAAATTTAATATCTTTTTTTTTTTTTTGGCCTGGCCAGGCAAGTGGTCCCAGGGCCACTCTGGTAGCCTAGTTTATTTAACTTCATTATTATTTGTTTAAACCACCAGTACTTGGCCGAGCTATCGGCCGCAGAAAAGAATAGAGTAGAAACGTTTCTAGTTGGATGAATTTGGTCGCTCCTGTAGTGGCCCGTACGTTTCCTAAAATCGCGTAGCGTTAACGGGCACGACTTTAGCAAGTACCGGTGGTTTAAAGCATCAGCTCGGGGATGCACCAGTGCTCAAGGTGATAAGAACAGCCTCTAGTAGTGGCCTCCGGCTTGGATGGCTCTTTTCCATTGGTGGGGACCGCCACCTTCCTGGAAGCCGGGGCCAGCGTCCCTCGCATTACATTTAGTCAGTCACGAAGAGTCTGTTCGTGAGAAAGAGAATTGATTACCCTTCTTGTGAAGAAAAGGATTCTTTTTTAGAAACTCAATTGTGCCAACAAAACTCTCTCAGGAAATATGCCCACTACGACTTTCCGGACTGAAACGAGCTGAAACTGCAAGCAGATACATTCACGAATGTCCCTAGTCTGCATATGCCCTCGGGTACTTCCATATATACACTCAAATTCCACTTGCAGGAAAGTTTCTGAGGGAGGGAGCGAGGGAGAAAATTCATCGCACTCTCCCTCTCCCTCTCTCTTGAAGAGTTTCAGAGCAAGAAACCTTCACAATTTTGTGGTGGCAACCCAAAAGAGGATGAAAAAAAAGAACTGACGTGGCAATACCTATCTCTCTCTCTCCCTCTCTCTCTCTCTCTCTCTCTCTCTCTCTCTCTCTCTCTCTCTCTCTCTCTCTCTCTCACACACACACACACACACACACACACACACACACACACACACACACACAAACACACTTGGAGAGTTTGGCTGAAGAGATATGCATACCGTGCAGGGCAATGAGATGTGGGGCTACTGAGTGGCATACTCGTACACTCGAACTTCCTTCGATGTACCTGACCACCTCTTTAGCTACATTCAGGTGCCGAGGTTCTAATCTTCTACTCTGATAACATGTACTCATACAACTTGCCATCGGATGAGATGGACAGATGGATGAGAGATGTCCCTCTGAAGAGGCTGGGCCCACTTTGATTGAAGGTGGACTTTGCCTTCACTCCACACTTCTCGCATACGACAAGGCCTGACAGGCGGTGAGAACACGAACGCTACTGGCCTCGCTCCACTACTCAACATTCGACATGTATCTGGACTGTTTTGTGCACCGATACCAATATATTCTGACTGACCAAACATTTTGAATGTACTGGCACAGATTCCATCTCCAGACACATTGAGACTGTTGTGCAGTGGAGCAAGGCCCTACAGCTCTCCATTCGATGGGATGGATGGATGGGGACGGAATCCTCACAGATGTCCTCTGAAAAGAGACGGCTTTGATCGAACAGGCACTTTGCCTTCATTCTTCAGGCGCCGGTACGCTTCTCGCATATGACACGGCCTGATCGGCCCCGTCTCCCGGCGTTCATTCATGACGATCCGCGCTGTTTCGACCAGGTCCCCCACGAACAGCTTGGCGATTCCCGACATGACAATCGTCATAGGGACAGAGACTGCACAGCCGGCCACATTCTGAATCAGCCGCTTCATGTTCGCACGATGGAATCCCGACCGTCGATAACACTCGTAACGACTCATCTGATCGGGGGTGAACTTTGCCAACACCGCGCGCATCTTTTCCGGTTCCACCATGTGAAATGTTGCACCAATCTCCAAGTCCAGGTTATCCTCGTCGTCATCGTCGTCATCCCCCCCCCTACCACCTGTCCCATCTCCCATGTGCCCATCCATTCCCTGCGCTACCGCGCCATCGTCCTGCCCTCGGTCCCCTCTGCCCTCTCCTCCGCCATGATTGTTGTCGCCTTCATCCTCTTCCCCGTCACTTCCCCCCGGCGGCGGATTACTGACCTTCGCAGGCATTAATTCTCTGCGCACCGACTTCGCAAACGAGGATCCCTCCTGCACTGGGGTCTTATTAGCCAGCCCGCCATCCTCGTTTGCAGATTTCAGTTTCGGTCTCTTTTTCGCCCTCGCAATCGACTGATCAATCTCCATCGTGGATCACCGGCAACCGATTTCACGTTCTACACGCTTCACTCTTTGCACAGGAAAAACCTCTTTAGCGACTTAGGAATGGACAGCTGATTTATTTCTTTCGCGGGACAGCAGCAACAGCCAGCAGCCAGCAGTCGGCGGTGGCCAGGAGGAGGTCGACAACCTAATCACAGCCAAAACCAGACTGCTCTGGTCCTGGGTTTGGCTCTTGTTATCACAGACAGCAGAAAACCACATCCATAACTGGTTCCATTGAAGGTCGCGAGTTCAAGCCCTGGAAGCAAAAGACAGAAAGACATATATCAGGGATCATCCCCTCTGGTCCATCACTCAATAACAGTTTTTACGCACTTCACTTTTTGCACAGGAAGACCTTTGTGGAAACTTGGGGGTCCTTTCAGGACATCCGTTAACATTGGAACGATACAGAGAATGAAGATTAGCATGGCCCCTGTGCAAGGGATGACATGACATGCATAAATTGACAAATGTCCCAATTAAATTAAAAGAGGGTTCATTTGCAAAATACCCCCATAAGTTCAGAAATATGCCAAAATGCCATGAAAGATGTGGGTATAGCGGAATGCCCTCTTGGGGCCGAAATCTTTGTGTTGTGCCCCTGTCAGGCGGGTGTGCAACTTTGCAATCTTGACCTTCCCGTTTGGGACTTGGCCTTTTGCAATAGCGCCTAGGAGAAGTTGGCAAGTACTGGGGCATTTTGCAAAGTTGGACGGTACCCGGTAGGGGTATATTGCAAAGATGGGGGTCCAACCAACGCCAGGGGTATTTCACAAAATATTTTCCTTTGTCAGAGGGGCAATCGGCTCTACCCCCCACATCTTTTAGGCGCATTTTGGCATATATCTCAACTTATGGGGGTATTTTGCAAATTCTCCCAATCAAAACAGAAAAAGAGGGAAAAAAAGAAACTTGGGATGGACATCTGATTTCTTTCTCAGTACAACAGCAGCAGCAGCAGCCAGCAGCAGGTTCATGACCTAAGAATGATTGGAGTAAAGTGTGCGAGAATTGCCACATGTGTGTGGTGCGGCCATACGGTGCTGCGCGTGGTGTGTCGAGTTGGACACTACAGCCTTGCAGGGGGGGAGGGGGGTGACATCATGACCGGTATGGTTCCCTACTTTTGAACACCGTGTCCTGGCTGTAGCAGTTAAGAGACTTGCCTAATGAGGCCGAGCAGGGAGGAGGGCCTTAGGCCCAGACGTACCGATGTCTAACTAACTACTAAGAACGACCAAGCCGTAATTTTTTTGTGGGGTCGGTTGTTGTTAGCACAGAAAGTAGAACACCACACCCATAACTGGTTCAATTCAAGGTCGAAGGTTCAAAGCGTGGCCAACAGAATGCCCAAAAAAAAAAAAAAGAAAAAAAAAAGCGCACACAATACCAAGGATCATCCCCTCTGATCCATCTTTCATCACTGGAACAACCAGCCATTGTGAAAGTTGGAAAAAAAAAAGAAAAAGAAAAAGAAAAGGAAAAAGAAAAAGAAAAAGAAAAAGAAAAAGAAAGGCTAATTCAAAAAAGCCCAGCCAAGTAAATTACCTGTTGAATCTGGACAGGACAGCCTTTCAGGCCTTTTTTTATTGTCATTGTAGTATTGCGGGGAACCCTGTAGCAGCCACATCCGTGCTCAAGCCTCCAACGAGGGAACAAGCGGGAGCTGGCACCCATCAGCAGGTGCGATACCTGCTACAGCAGGTGAGCGATACCCGCCAGGGGTCAACCGCTACCGTAGCATCAGGACCGAGCAGCTTCTTCGATGGGCCAGTCACTGTGCCTCCCCTCGGTCCCCTCCCCCTATGAACATCATCAGCAGTCTCTCTGCTCGACGCCACTTGGGGGGATGGGTCACGGACTACCAGATAGCCTTTTTTGAAGTTTTTTCCCTTTTTCCCTTTCTACCAGCAAAAATGTGAAACACCAACAAAGTTTAACATATGTATGGTGCATAATCTGCAGATTATCAGACCACGTACATGGGTGCAAATAAAGAGGTGAGGTTACCTGGGACACCCGGCCGGGGAGCCAGGTGACTCGCCCCCAAAAGGGGGGTCCCAATCAGGTCAACCCAGTCATGTTAAAAGTCCGGATTTTTTTCCAAATTTTCCGTCAGTGGGGCGTTTCTGTTCCCATCGAAAGCAGCCCAAGTCCAGGCACTTCTTTATTTTTCAGTGTTGTTGGCTAGAGGAAGGAGAGAAGGGGGCTGGGG